TTTCAAAAACCTCAAAGCTCACAAGTGTCAGCTTGAACCTCATAAAGTCATCAGAAGGCTCAATGAGCATCTGATATGGCTAATATAGGTCTATTACGTCCTTATTTGGCAAAAGGCTACCTAACTGAGCCAATGCGTGAGTGTTTATATAATAGAATGAACTTACTGGGAGGAAATGCATATTTCTTGTGCATTTCTAGCTCGGTTCCAAAAACTTCAGCTCTTCCTTGTAGGAGCTCGAGCACAACTTCCGTACTGCCAACCTAAAAGAATTGTGAAACAGAAATCATCGAAAACAAAAGGTACTTTTCTAGATCGTACAACTACAGGTAATTCCAACAATGATGTGAAAACAGGACGAATTTAAAAGCATTCGAGTTGAAACTGACCTCAAACCTGAGCTCATGGTCCTCCTTAAGTGTGAACTCCTGAACCTTGGGCTCATCAGTCATTGCGAGTATAAACTCAACACGTTATGAGCTGTCAAAGGCGATCCAATTAGCCAAACTTAAAGTAACGAAATTCAACTGCAAGGCATTGACTTCCTGCGGCAGCGCAGCAGTTTGTGATTGGGGCGCAGAAACTGTCAGCACTGCAAGGAACCGGCGCGGCTTCTAGCAACATTGCCAAAATTGAAGCATATTGCTCTTAACTGCTACATTGACTACGTAACGATCTTATTGCTGACTGTCGTAGCGGTTTCTAATTGACATCGATTATTATTCAGTTATCCCTACCCTTACTATCTACAGACTGTCCCAAAATCACGGGCGCCAAAGTGCAGGAACAGCTTAGATGGGAAACCAACTAATTTTATTTCATTCGCTATTGATTAGTTGCACAGGTAGGTTTTCTTGCAACATGCACAGCTATAACTGAAGTGAGGCTTTGAATATTTTTGAATGGCGAAGGCTAATTTCATGCCATTTGCAATCATTCGCATGCAAGAGGCAAAAATGCATAGTGAAATTCCTCGTGTTTTCCATTAATGGCCGTACGGAAAGCTAATGAACGATACAGAGAAGCAAATCAATATGACAGTGTCGGAAAGGGTGAAAAGGCCAGCTTTTCCAAAAACAGGACTGCTAAAATATTCCGCTTGTGGGTCAATTTTGATTCTGGGTCAGCAATCGAAGGGTGGGCAACGGAGCAGAACTAATCGAAGTTGCACGCGATTTTCCATAATTTTCTCATTGAATCAATCAATTACGATTATGGCTCATAACATATGAAAGTGACTCGATTACAGCTGCCAGACGGCACTTGGTGAAAACATGGTACAAAGACGCCTAGCAGCTGGGTGGGGACCACGCACGTGCGACCACCAAAACAATAAAAGTGCCGTCACAGTCCAGCTGAATCGCCAGTTTCACTTAAATGCTTTTGACCGTAACCTCTGTCCTCACTTGCGTGTTCTCATCTGATCAGACATAT